ATTAAGAACCCAAGTTCTTTGTCTGCAGCAAACAGTGGCTGGAGAAGAGGTAGATTTAACATCAGGCCAAAAGGCAGAAGCTGTTTTCCTCTCCTGTAAGATCTTTAATAATGAAACAATACAGTCATGAAAAATGAGGATTGATCTCCTAATTTAATGTGCTGTTGCAGCCCAGGGTATCAGCTCTAAAAGATAAACAGAAAGGATCTATTTGGGCATATATCCTACTGGATTCTTCTGTGTTTTTTCCTGTGAGAAATGGGAAACAGTTATGGAACTATTGCTACCAAATAGTCAGTGCTGCTGTGAGCCAGGGGGTGGTGACACCAAGCCAGACTCGTTTCTTCTCCCTGGCTCTGTCCCCTCAGACAAGGACACCTCTCTGCGCAATGGGCTGCTCGTCTTCTTCTTCCTGGTGCTGCCCCTGCTCGTGGCTGCTGCTCTGGCCTTTGCCAGGAGGGACAGGCTGAAGCGAGGCTGCAGGAGGCTGATGTCCCGCTGCCACTCGTGAGTGCTCCTTGTCCCCCCTGTCCCCTCCCTGCCCCTCAATACCAGTGCCAAGGTGTGCAGGCATGTCCCAGCCCCAGGGTGTCAGGGGAAGGCCCCCGATTCCAATGGCACATGCAGCTTGCCTCCAGCAATGACAGAAAAGATAAATTCATCCCAAATCAGGAGAGCAGAGAGTTTTCTCTTTGCTGTTGTGTTTGTTCTTGTGTATTGGTGATAGGGGTTTATATTTTTGGGTCCCATCTTTTTATAAAGGGGCAAAGGGAAGCTGCCAGTCTTGAACAGAAAAAGGGTTATTGTTTATGAATTTGTGGTTTCTTAGATTTCTCACACTTGATACATGCTAAGACAGTACAAATGCAGGTGCCAGGCTCACAGTGCCTGGGCTCCTGGCCTGCACAGTCCCTGTGCCAGGGTTCTGTGCTCAAACAATCCACACCCATCCTATTCCAGGTCACTCCAGTCACCTCCTCCTCGGCCAGACACTGAACCCAGGGACTACCAGCAGAGGGGCTTCTCCCGTGGCATGCCTTATGCTCCAAGACCTGTACCCATGGTAGGAATCATCTACTTCCCCTCACTCGATTTGTTACTCTAAAGTAAAGAGATGAAGGCAGTTGCTATAAGTTTTGCCCTAATAAAAGCTTTAAAGTTACTTCTTCATTTCTGAAAATTGTTTCTCCTTGATAAAAAGCAGAGAATGTTTGTTTCCTGAGACTTGGGGAGGGGGCTCCTCAGTTTCCCAGTTTAAGCACTGTCCAGGCTGTGCTTAGTTTACCTGCTTTGCTGCTCCCTTTTGCTCCTGACAGAGCACCCACCCCACATGGGAGCCCCTGTCCTTGTCAGAGCAGTTGTTCTCTGAAAGCCACAGCCAGCCTGAGCACCCTCCCAGAGCAAACCGAGTGCTGTGACCAGCAGCCTTGCTGTGCCTTTCTGTGTTTTTCAAAATCCAGCAGTTCCCAGGCTGCTGTTGCTTCTTCCTACTGAGTTCCCAGAGGAAAGAGCAGCTCTGACATTGCCAGGCTGGTTTGCAGTGTCTTGAACGTCACTTACTTAGTGACACAAATATTTTAATTCCTGTGTGCAGTCTGTGAACGTTTTCTTTATATTTTCTTTGTAGGACGTGCATCCGAACACGTTTCCTGTCCCAGCTTACCCAGTTAACCAGCACCCTCAGCAGGCTTTCCAGCAGCCCTACTACTCCCCACCACAGTACCCAGTGCAGCAGCCACAGAGGGTGCCCAGCAGGTCAGTGGGGTTCCTGCAGGTGCCCACTGGCACTGCTGGGATCATTTCTTGTTGTGTTCTTGCGTGTTGTGTGCAGGTGGGGCTGGCTTCTCACTGGGAGAAGTTTCTCCTTCACTTCACCCCGAAAGGCAGAGCATTCATCCTGCTCTGGCAGGGCTGTGTGGTGATGAACGAGGCTCAGAGCATTGCTGTGGGGGCACATTAGCCCAGCAGCTGGATGAAAGGCCTGGTAAAATAGTCAGCTTAAAAGCAAATTACTCTAAAAACTGTCATTGTGCTGATTTGTGAATGTTATGGCCAAGTGCAAAACCATTTCTCTTAACTTTGAACAGAAAGTTTTCCTTTTATTTTTCATCTGACTTTTCAATGGTGATTGTAAGATGCAGTGCTGTGGAGCACAGACCCAGAAGTGCCAGGCACTGAGTGGGAACATCCTCATGTAGCTCACCTTGGTGAGGCACTTGGGCCAGGGGCCTTGACAGAATTTGGGGAGAAAAGATGAATTTTAACAAATGGGAGTTCCCAGAGGATTTCAGGCCATTGGAGGCACAGTCTGAGCAGGGCACGTTCAGAAGGAGGGTGGGAAGAGTGGGGTGGTGGCCAGGGCACAGGGTGGGGCTGTGGGTGGTGGCCACGGTGGCACTGACCCCTCTCCTCTGTCTGCAGGCCCCCGCCCCCGCAGCAGAAGCTCGTACCTCAGGCAGTGCCAGCACAGCACAAGTGTTTACCTCAGGGACACTACTTCCCTTCCCGACCCGCACCTCTGCCTCCCAAATAGCTCCTGCCTTCCTCGGGGCCTTCTTGTGAGCTGGAATTGCAGTTCCCCTTCTGGCATCCCGTGGCAGTGCCAGCAGCCTCCCTGCTGCAGCCTGGGCCAGGGCAAACGAGAGATCCAAACCGGGAATGTAGAACTTGACACTCACTAAATACCTCGACCAAAGCTCCGGGGACTGAAACACCCAGCCCCTCCCTTGCTCTGTCCAAGCTTTGCTGCTGCAGCCAGGCTGGCAGCAGGAGTGCAGCAGCCTGCAGGGAAATAGTCCCAAAATGCAGCACGTGGGTTTGGGTTTCCCCATTTCTGCCACTGGTAAGGAAATTGTCTGATTTGTTGTTGTCTCTCTGACTGTGCAGTGAGGAATTGGAGTTTGCAAAGCAAGGAGATCTGTTAATTTGCAGTTAATTTACAGTTACTCTGCATGGACTGGAAAGTGTTTCCCATGTACACCTTAATGGCATAAATGGAACAAGATCTGGGAGGACTTTTTCAGGAAGAGAGATCTATTTTAAACATGTTTATGCATGTATATATGTTTATAGATGCATAATAATGCTCTTAAATTCTTAACTCCATGCTGACTGACACCAAGCTGTGCTATAGGGGCACTGAGTCTAATGCTTTTTAATTAGAGAGTGGCTAAATGAGACTCGTGTACTAATTCCCACTAATCCATGGCTGGGCAGTGAAGATAAAGGTACGAGAAGACACGGCCATACTCTGGTTTTAAAAAATGGGGTGCTGTTAGGTTTTAATTCGGGTCTAAAGACAGCAGCAGTCCCTGCAGAACACTGGGAAGTGTCTCTGCCTGGACCACCAGGGCTTCTCTGAGCACTTTAAATGGGAGCCTGGTGACTGAAGCAGCCCCTGTTTTAACACCCAAACCCTTGCAGTGTCAGTCAGGAAGCTCCTGGGCTACTGTGACTTGGACTGGACTGCCCTCTGCTCCTGCACCATGGGCCAGACTGGATTCTGGAACTCCTGAGCAGAGGTGCTCAGCATCCACTGTGCTGGGAGAGGGAGCTGTAGATCCTGACCCTGTGGTGCCGTGGGTAGGAGCTGGATGTCGTGGTCACAAATAGGAATCTATTGCACAACTTGCTAAAAGTGAGGTTCTATTGCACAAACTTGCTAAAATTGAGATCATGTTGAAGAGTGTGCTGGGCTGTTTTACTCTGTGCTCGCCACAAGCACAGCTCAATCTGTAAAATCCCCCAAATATTGCCAAAAATAATCTTTTCCTCTGTATATACATACATAAATATATATATAGTGTGTGAAGTAATAAAATACTTGAACTCCTGTGGTTTCCCATAAACATAGACTAAGATTTATAACACTATTAAAATCTGTAAAATGTCACCTAGAATTTCACCAACTGTAGGGAGTCTCCTTTTTGTTCCAAGATAATCAATTACTTCCTAATTATGTGTTGCTGTGTCCCGCTGTGCCTGAGCAGGCTGTCTGTCTGTCTGTCTGTCACAATGAGCTCTGCAGCTGGATGCAGCCCATCTCCAGCCCTGGTCAGAGGGTGGGGAAGGAGGAGGGGATCCAGGGAATGAAGTCATCCGGAGAGATGTACTTAACTGTGTGTGTCAACTAAACTATGCTGAAAATGGTGCCTTTACATGACCAAGAGTTTTTGTACTCCCAGCGTGCCTGCTGGAAGAGGGGCAGGGATGTGTGGTTCTAAAGTGATCCCAGGGACAGGAAATAGCTCCAATTTTTGGTGTTGGATACTGAAGATGACTACTGGACTACTGACTTTCTTGAGTGAAGTGTACAGACACCTGTCCTGGGCAGGGCTGGAGCTGAGGGGGCTCCACAGCCTCTGGCCAAAGGGCTCTTCCCAACCCCTTTGTACAGACCCAACAAGCAATAAAGATCCCACTTTTGTACAAGCCTCTGCCTCGGCCTCTGCTTGGAGGGAGGGCCAGTTGTTTTTCCCGGTGGGGCAGTTGTTTTTCCCGGTGGGGCAGTTGGTTTTCCCGGTGGGCCAGTTGTTTTTCCCGGTGGGGCAGTTGGTTTTCCCGGTGGGGCAGTTGTTTTTCCCGGTGGGGCAGTTGGTTTCCCGGTGGGGCAGTTGGTTTCCCGGTGGGGCAGTTGTTTTCCCGGTGGGGCAGTTTCCCGTGGGGCAGTTTTTGGTGTGGCTGTTAGTGCTGGGCCGTTACTGGCCAGCCATGGGGCCACTCTGTGCCATGCCACCGCTGCTGCTGCTGCTGCTCCTGGAGCTGCTGCACGAGGCTGGGCAGGGCCCCCCCGTGCCCCCCAGCCCCCAGGACTGGGCTCAGCCATGGGGGTCTCTGTCCCCCGTGGGTGGGCGGGTCTGGTCCCAGATCACAGTCCCACAACAGCTGGGGGCAAACACGACAGGCGGGGCAGGGCTGAAGGTGCTGGGGGGCTCTGGGGAGGGGAAGGCGAGGTCTGGGGGGTACAGATGTGGTGGCAGCTGTGACAGTGTCAGCACAGCAGAGCTGCCAGCACCACGATGGCTGCACCCACTCTGTGCTCCCCTCTGCTGTTCACAGCAGGCATCAGATCGTGCTGTTTCCAACTCCCCAATTCTCCCCTTCTCTGCTTTTCTGTGCACAAGGATGCAGTGTCCTACGTGCTGAGGATTGAGGGGAGGCCGTACACCATCCACCTGCAGCAGCAGTGAGTTGGCCCTGGCACTGCCCTCGCTGACAGCAGCTGCCCCCGTTCCTGGTGGCTGCAGGGAAGCTGGACAGGCTCTGGGTGCTGGATGCTGTTTTGAGTAGCTCTCTCTGCACCTCTCTCTTGTAGTGCCTTTTTATCTGATGATTTCCAGACTTACATGTCCAGCGAGAAGGGATCTTTGCCCTCTGGTTCTGCCCACGTTGAGGTAACCTGGCCTTGCCTCGGGCTCTTTGTGCTCCCGGTGTCTCTGCCCAAGGCAGCCTCTCCAGGTAAGGAGCTCACCTTCCCAGCCAGTTAAGGGGCTCCCTGTGCTCTGTCCTGTCACAGGGAGGCTGCCACTACTGGGGCTACATCGATGGCTTCCCCAGCTCAGCAGTGTCCCTCAGCACGTGCTCGGGGCTCAGGTCAGTGCCAGCCCTGTCCCTGTGCTGCCCTCGCCGTGGGCATTAGCCAGGCCTGTGCCCGTGCCCAGGGCTGAGTGGATGGTGCTGGTGCCCTGGCAGGGGTTTGCTGCAGTTTGAGAACGTGAGCTATGGCATCCAGCCCCTGGGCTACGCCCCCGAGTTCCAGCACGTTCTGTACCGGGTGAGGGGGGAGCAGATGGCAGCAGCCCCCCCTGGCCAGAGCCGCCCCCAGCCCGGGCTGCCAGCCTGGGACGTGCTGGCCCACGGGGATGACGAGGTGAGCAGTGTCCGTTCTCCCAGCGCTGCTCCTGTCCCTGCCCTGTGAGGAGGGGTCTGACTCTGCTGGGAGCTTTGGCCCCACACTGGACACGAGCTTTGAAGGGACCCTTGGGAAGCACAGCCAGCAGCAGTGAGGGGACCAGAGAGTGCAGAATCTGTGCTTGGAAGCCCATTTTCTCTTTTAGCCCCTCTCGGCCGCTGCACAATCTCCCAAATACCTCCCAGTGTACGTGGTGCTGGACAAGGCTTTGGTGAGTCTGTGCCAGCCACTTTTTCCTTGTCTTTGCCTGACTTCTGTGAGCATGGAGAGGGTAACATTTCCCAGCTTTTACATGGATTTGTTTTCCATTTTGAAGTACTGGGGATTTTGTAGGAAAGAGGGAACATGAATTTGTAGCTCGTGTCTCCATGGCTGGGTGTTGGGAATCATTTCAGTGTTCCACCACTGTCATGCTTCACCCTGCTAAGCACCTTGTCTGCCCTTGTGTCCTCCTGGCTTGTTTTTCAGTACAACTACATGGGATCAGACCCGAATGCTGTGACACAGAAGATAATCCAGGCCTTCAATTTAATCAACAATGTGAGTTCTTAAATCTGGTTTGTACTGCAGTGAGATGGGGGACGAGGGGAATGTTGAGGTTAGCAGTGGCCACCTCTTTTCTAGCTGCTTTTAGGCTCAGGAGGGTTATGTAAAAAATGCCATGTTTCCTGAGAAGGCTTTTCCTCTGGATGTGTCAATCTGCCACAAAAGAACATCTTTCCCTGTGTGATGGCCATGCCTTACTCTCAGCTGCTCATAACCAACTTCCAGTCCTGTTCTTTACTGCACTGGTGGTCTTATGGTTCACTTGTGTAATGAGAAGTTATTCCCAAAGCCCCTAATACTTCTTGTGAAGTTACTGGACTTTGGCTCAGACCTCTCTTTAGATGTGCTCATTCTTTTTGGCTGCAGATGTCATTGAGGCACTGACAGCAGCAATTTACTTTTCCCATGTGTTTGCTGTGTGCAGAGTAGTGACTCTGCATGAAGGGAAGGTGTGGGAGCAGATGTTTCCTCTCTTGTACTTTCAGATGTTTAATCCCCTTAATGTCACCATTGTGCTATCCTCCCTGGAGCTGTGGGCAGAGGGGGATAAAATATCCACAGCAGGGGACATAGATGACCTTCTCCAGCGATTTTTACAGTGGAAACAGTTGTCTCTGGAGCCACAGGCACACAACATTGCTTCTCTCCTAGGGTAAGAAAATGGTGCATTAGTGTTAGAGGTTACGTGGCAGCAATCAGTCAAACCAATGTAAAGTTGAAATATAAAGGACAAATGCTTTTAAAAACATCTGTATTTCCTAAATCCTTAATATTCTTAAAGTATTTCTTCCCAGACACTCCTCCTAGTGATGCAGCAGCTGCAATGGTGCCATCCATCCCCTGCCCCCACCCGGGCTGGGGAGATGGGTCCCATGCCCAGCACCAGGCACCAGCCCCCACCACACAGACCCTGCCCCAGCTCCCCTGGGGACAGCAGGACATTCAGGGGCACCAAGGGGACTGGGGCAGACCCCAGCATCCCCCACTCACCACAGCCAGAGGGTCCCTGGGCCCAGCTGGGGCACACCTGTGTTCCAGGTACAGGCAGCCAGGAGCGTTCGTGGGCGCAGCGGCTCCAGGAGGGGCGTGCCAGAGAGATGCTGCTGCCACAGTGGCCCTGGTATGGTCCCAGCTGTCCTGTGCCTGCCCCTCACCCGTGAATTCATGGCTCTGAACTCGGCCCCGGGCAGCAGGAGCAGGGCCGGGTGGGGGGATCTGTGTCTGGAGCAGGGATCTCTGCAAGGAACGCTCAGCTCTGCCAACTCATCTCTCTGGTCCCTCCAGTACCACGGGAATGTCACCCTGGAGTCCTTCTCTGTGCTCCTGGCACAGGTGCTGGGCCACAGCCTGGGCATGAGCTCAGACAGCCCCCGAGGCTGCAGCTGCCCCGGGCGGGTCTGCATCATGAGCCCCGAGGCACTGTGAGTCTGTGGGGCTGGGGATGGGGACAGGGGACAGGGGGACAGGGCCAGGGAGGGCTGCAGGGCTGGGGACAGGGGGACAGGGATGGCTGCACCGTGTCCCCTTGGCACAGTGCCACTGTCACTCCATTGCAAAAACTACAACAAATTGGAATCACAGACTCATGGAGCCACTCGGGTTGGAAAAGGCTCCACCGAGTCCAGCCTTTGGCCAGTCACCACCTTGTCACCTGGAGCAGGGCACTGAGCACTGGGTCAGGCATTTCTTGAGCACCTCCAGGGATGGAGACTCCACCACCTCCCTGGGCAGCATTTCCATTGCCTGACCACCATTTCAGTGAAGAAATACCTGCTTTTATTTCTCTAAGAAGAAAAAAAGAGTTAATTAAATAGCATTTTAGTGCTTAATTTGACAAAAGAAACCTTTGCTCTCTAAAATGAAGGTACTTTAGAATGTTTTTCAATCTCTGTTAATAATGAGATGTAGATCAGGTGAATTAAGAGACCCCTGGGGCCATCGTACCCTGTGCCAGTGTCTGGGCGAGCTCTTGACTTGCAGGGAGCTTTGGGGGGAGAGAGGGGCGGTGAGTGTGTGACATACAAGTGACACTTGTGTACGTGTAACATACATCAGCGATACAACCCATGATTGCTTTGTTCCAGGCATTTCAGCGGGGCAAAAGCCTTTAGTAACTGCAGCACCAGGGCCTTTGAGACGTTCCTGAAGCAGGGCAGGGGTCGGTGCCTGTTCCACAGCCCCCGCCTGGCGCTGTCCCGCCGGAGCGGCGCCCGCTGCGGCAACCGCGTGGTGGAGCCGGGCGAGCAGTGCGACTGCGGCACGGCCGAGGTGCGGCCGGGCCACCCCAAAAACCGCCGGGCTCTGTGCTGGGAGTGCCTGGGGAGGGACAAACCCCGGGGACCGGGAGCAGCCCAGGGAGGGTTACCTTGGGGTCGACATGGTTCGTGTGGCACCCACCTGGTGGCAGCTTTGCCCGTTTGTTCTGCTGGGTATTGCCCAAGTAATTTGGGGAGAGGAGGAGGAGGAGGAGAGGCTCGGGGGTACAACAAAATAAAATAATTTGGGTTTGCCGTGTGTCCCCAGGAATGCCTGCAGGACCCGTGCTGCACTAGTAGGTGTAGGCTGAAGCCGAAAGCAAGATGTGCCTCTGGATTATGCTGTAAAAATTGTCAGGTAAGGCACATTTTTATAACGATTACAAAATGATTATTTATTTTTAGACAAACAGTATGTTCCCGTGCTGAGGGATCCCTGGGGGAATGTCAGTGGGGGCTGTCCCAGGCGGTGTCACACAGGTGTGGTCACCTGGGGGACCCGGGGCCGGTGTCACACAGGTGTGGTCACCTGAGCGCCGCCGGGGGACCCGGGGCCGTGGCCAGCAGGGGCTGAGCGGCTCGGGCTGCCAGGGGAGGCTGCAGAGCCGCTCCTGCTCTGCAGTTCAAGCCGAGGAACTCTCTGTGCCGCCCGGCCGCCGACGCCACCTGTGACCTGCCCGAGCTGTGCAGCGGCTCCTCGGCCTCCTGCCCCGCTGACCTGTACCTGCAGGATGGGCACGACTGCGGCCACGGCACCGGCTACTGCTACCACGGGCGCTGCCAGTCCTCAGACCTGCAGTGCAGGCAGTTCTACGGGAGAGGTACCAGGCTGTGCTCGGGGCAGGGGTGGCCTCAGCATCAGGGTGCTCGCTTGGTACCTGGACTCTGAGTCTCAGGTGAGGGGGGGCACCTGGAGAGAAGGCACAGCTTTAGGAAAGCATTTCAAGCTCTGTTTTGGCTCTGGTTAACAGAGTCCCCCAGTGCTTCACAGGTAACAGTGGAAAGAACAAAAAGCAAATTATTTTCTGTGGGCAAACTCAGTCAGAGAACTTCCCCATTTGGTATTCCCCTGCTGATTCCTGAGGTTCAGGACTGCTGGAGGTTTGGGCACGGAGAGGTGTTTAATTAAATCTTGAAAAATGAAGTTATTAGATACTGTAATATGTTCCTGTGTGTTCCTTATAACTGTAACAAATATTATTGCCGAACTTGTAGATTCAAAGAATGCTCCTGTGGGCTGCTATGAGGAGATCAATGGCCAGCGGGACAGGTTTGGGCACTGCGGGTTCAGGAGTGGACACAAGTTGCAGTCCTGTACTTGGAGGTAGGCTGGGCACGTTTAACTGGGATTGCACAACCAAGAGAAGTGCCAGGACTCCAGTTTGTGGTGAGATTGGTGAAGCAATAAATAGCTCTGTGTGTGTTCTCCTTGTTAGGGGGTCTCTCCTTCTGTCACAGATCCTCCCTTGGACTTGCCAGTGCTGCTGCTGTTTTCTCAGCACACTGTGCTGTTCAGTGTTGCAGTGTTCATCAGGCAGTATCTGTGTGTGTTGGATACACATCCTGTGCTAATTGGCTTTCCAGGGATCTCAGGTGTGGGAAGTTAATCTGCACATACCCATCCCAAAGGCCCTTCTCCTCAGCTGCTGCCGCCGTGATTTATGCCCAAGTGAGGCGGCATTTGTGTGTGTCTGTGAACTTCCTGAACGTACCAGCATGGCAGGACCCGCTTCTGGTTCCTCCAGGAACAAAGTGTGGCTCTGGAAGGGTAAGGAGGTATTTTGTAATCACCTGAAATGACTAATAGAAACTGTGGATATTAACAAGATCATAGAAACATTCGTCCCTTGCAGCAGCGTGCTTGATATTTAAAAACACTGTAAAAACTTGCAAAGGTTGCATTAAAGGTTTGGTGGGGTGTGAGCACTAAACAGGACCTGGCCCCAGGGCAGAACTGTGGTTCCTTTGTACTTTTATTTTTTATTTTTTTTTAAATAGTGTATGTTCCTTTCCCTGTGGGCCATAGCCCGATGTGCTGAGCTCTGTGTGGGTGAGGCAGTGCTGGGCTGGAGCTGCCATGGTTTTTCCAGATGTCACCCTCTGTCCGTGCTGGGATCCAACTGTGACAGCAAAGCAAAGTGCCACGGCCANTAGTGTATGTTCCTTTCCCTGTGGGCCATAGCCCGATGTGCTGAGCTCTGTGTGGGTGAGGCAGTGCTGGGCTGGAGCTGCCATGGTTTTTCCAGTTGTCACCCTCTGTCCGTGCTGGGATCCAACTGTGACAGCAAAGCAAAGTGCCACGGCCACGGCGTGAGTCCTGCGAGGGCTGGGGGGGCACAGTGTGCACACTGCACACCTGTACCTGCCTGGGCACACCTGTACCTGCCTGGGCACACCTGTACCTGCCTGGGCACACCTCCCTGCCCCTCGCAGGTGTGCAACAACATGGGCAGCTGCCACTGCCACGCGGGCTGGCAGCCCCCCGACTGCCGGAGGAGGAGGCGCCCGGGGGGCATCAGGGACAGCGCCCTGGAGGGAGGTGAGTGCGGGCAGCGCCGGGGCCAGCGAGGGCAGGGCTGGCAGTGGCCGTGCCCAGCTGGGCTGTGTCCTGGCAGGCCTGCAGCGAGCCCTGGAGGATGGAGAGATGGCCTGGCTGGTGCTGGGCTCCAGCCTGGTCCTGCTCGTGCTCACGGCGGCCCTGGGGCTCGGGCTGTGGCGGCAGCAGGTGCTGGGCCAGTGCGGGGGGGAGCGGCCAGCGGGCACCGACGGGTGAGTGATGCCGGCGATGTGGGGGATGTGGGGGTGCCAGGGGGCTGCAGGATCCCGGGAGGGCTGGGGGATCCCTGGGGATGGGAGGGAACAGGACAAGGTGATTGCCATGGGGACACGAGAACACTGCCCAGGACTGAGGTGACCTCAGGCTGAGGCACTCCCTGAGCCAAGTCAGGGCCAAGGCACCACTGCAGTCCCCCCACAGCAGCAGCCGGGACGTGGACAGGGAGCCAGAGCCAGACCCGGAGCTCAGTCTGGAGCCAGAGCCAGAGCTGGAGATGAAGACAGACACGGACCCACCACCGGAGCCAGGGCTGGGGCAGCACCGTGGGCACTAATTAAAGGTGTAGGGCAGAGCTGGTGTCATGGCCAATGCCCTGTGGCTTTATGCTTATGTAGTTTGTGTTTTTTGTCAGAGTTAACCCTGCTCTTGGGGCGTGGGGGCCGCAGCTGCTGAGACTGTCCCCTTTTCTCAGTGGGCACATGGTGGTGGTTGGGATTTGCCCATCCCTGAGGGCTGTGCCACTGCCTGGTGCTGGGGACAGCCCCCTGTCTGCACAGGCAGCCCTCACAGGGCCGACTTTCCCCAGAAAACAGAAAGCTGCTGTTGGGGAGCCCTGCTCAGAGCAGGGGCTGACCCCCCTCTGGTGGTGGGACCCCACTGGCAGCCCCAGGGACCCCCAGCACCGTGGGGAAAGCAGCAGCAGCAGCATCCATCCACTGTGTCCCCTGCATCTCTGGCCAGGTGAGTTCTGATCCATGAGCTCGCCAGCACGGACCACCCCCAGGATGGGAGGCTGGCTCCTGCCTGCCACAACTGGGCCAGCAGCCCGCTGCACACAAGTCTGGCATTGCAGGATGGGGGGGATCCCCAGCCACAGCAGCAGTGTCCCTGCAGCCCCTCAGGGTGGTCCTGGGAGGAGTCAGCTCACAGCCCCTGGGGACAGATGTTTGCTCCAGACAAAGCCTTATCAGCAACCTTTAGCCTGTTTGCTCAGCCCCTGTGGCCATTGGGCAGCCGGGCCCGACCCCCAGGAGCAGGCACAGCAGTGCTGGCTCAGCACACAGGGCCGGGGGGTGGCCAGAGCACAGCAGAGCCCAGCCATGGAGAGCAGCGATGGCACCGAGGAGCCCCCGCTGCCTCTGGCCCTGAGCAGGTTTCAGGTCTCCGAGGAGTTTGGCTTCCTGCTTCCCGACCCTCTGGTAGGAGCTGGCTGTGCCTCCCCATCCTCATGCCACAGCAGGCAGGCAGGGAAAGAGAGGGGTTGGTGAGCAGCAGTCTGGGGGAGCTCGCATTTAGCATTTTGCTCTAACGCTTTACAAAGAGCAGTGGGGAAGGCGGGTGCTGTTTGGGCACCGTCTGCTCCATTGGACAAACCCCTACCCTTTAAAATGCTGAAAGCAGCACAGGGGAGAGGTGAAGGAGCTCTGCCATTTCCACACCGGCCTTGGCTCTGCAGGATTTTGGGGAGCACAGGAAGGGCAGGGCTCCTGTGCCCAAAGCGGGGCTATTTATGACGGGCCTGGCTCCGGTGGGAGTGGGTGGGGACAGACAGATCGCGTTCACCATCCATCGTCAGGAGGGGGAAGCAGGCACTGGCCAGCAGTGCTGTGCGAGGCTGGGAGGGTGCTGCGAGCCCGGGCACACTCACAGCCCTCCCTCCCTCCCTCCCTCCCTCCCTCTCTGCCTCTCCCCCAGACAGAGCTGCCCGCACCCTACAGCCCCTGGATGGAGCTCGCCCGGGAGCTGCCCCAGCTGATCACGGGCCACCAGCTCCGCTCACGCGTTCACCAGGTATGGAGCTCTCCTTCCGCCTCCAGGGCTCTCCCAGTCCTCGCTCTGACACAGCAGTGTCTGTAAAACGAGCAAAAGCAGCCCAGCAGCACGGAAGTGTGCTGACCCAGCACTGACACCAGGCGACAGCAAAGCCCTAACTTTGGCACAAAAAGAGCTCCTGCACCAGATCGAGCGCTCAGCAGCCAGCAGGGCCCCTCTAGGTGTCACAAGAGCCATGTCTCATCCCAGCCATCAGCTCCAGTCAGGCACACAGGGATCAGCTGCTCCCATGGGCATCCCAGCACCAGGAGGAGGAGGAGGAAAATCCCATGGATTACTGTCCCTGCTCACAAAGCAGTAACAGTGCAGCAGGAGCAAATCGTGCAGAGCAGGAGGGAAGGGAGGCTTAAAGGCAGGGGAGAAGCACCAGGAGGGTTCCTCCACCTCAGGGGCCTTGGCATTGCTGGCTCTGCTCCTTGCTCCCAAGGGTTTCCCTGGCAGATGCCGCAGCTGAGCACCCAGCACCTGCAGGGACGTGAGGAGCTGCACCTGGCACACCTGGTGCTCAGCTTCATCACCATGGGCTACGTCTGGCAGGAGGGCGAGGAGGGCACCGTGCAGGTAAAGGCAAGGTAAAGCAGGTTCACCTGCTCCTTGGGCGCTGGGACCTGATGCTGCTCCTGTAGAGCTTCTGCCATGGGAGCAAAGCCCTTTCCTGTGGCTGCAGCAGGAGTGTGCCCCTCCTGCCTGCAGATGGGCACCTTCCCACAGCCTGACAGCGTCCCCACCTTCCCTGTGCTTTGTGCCACTCAGGTCCTGCCCCGAAATCTCGCTGTCCCCTACTGGGAGGTGTCCCAGGCCCTGGGCCTCCCGCCCATCCTCAGCCATGCAGACTTTGTGTTGGCCAACTGGAGGAGGAAGGACCCCAATGGGTAAACGGGCAAATGCCAGCGGGCAAAGCGTGGGTGGGCAGCAGTGGAGAGCAGGGGTTGGGGGCAGACTGCTCCCAAACTGCTCCTGTCCTGCCAAAACCCCTTGAATGCCACCTTTGCCTCGTGGCTGTGGACACAGGAACCCTGTGGGGACACGGGTGTCTCTGTGAGCAGCCCTGGGGAGGGCTCCTCTATTCCCTGCAGAGCACAGACCACCACTAGAACAATTTATAATCTCTCTCTCTCTCTCTCTCCTTTTCTTGTGCATTTGTTGGCCATAACTGAAATGACTCCAGGCCTCTGGAAATTGAGTAAGTAGTTAATGCTCATTTATTTTCTAATGGTGTTGGTTTTGTTTGGATTGGCTCAGCTCTCCAACACTGCTTGGGCTGAACCTCTCTTGATGTGTGCACACAAGAAGAGTGTTTGTCACACAAGAAGAGTGTTTGTCACACAAGAACAGTGTTTGTCACAAGTGCCACTGCAACGACAGCAAAGGGACTGTGGCAGAGCCTGGCTGCTCTGGCTGCACAGAGCCAGTGGCCAGTGGCCATGGGGGGGATGGCAGGACCCCTAAACCAGAGCACTCCTGTTCCCTTTGACTCAGTGCCAGCTCCTCTCTGCACAGGGTGAGATAAGAGGCTCTGGAGTCTGGGGTGGTTTTGTTCCAAGGGCTCAGTGGGTCCCACATTGTAGGGAAATCTGAGCCACCACCCCCCAATCCCTCTCCTTGGCCCCTTTGTGCAGGAACCTGGACACCATCATCACTCTGCCTGGGGGAGAGAGCCTGCGGGGCTTCATCCTGGTCACCCTGCTTGTTGAGAAGGCAGCAGTGCCTGGCATTAAGGTGGGCACTGCTGTGGGTCGGGCTCTTTGCTTACCTGCACTGTGAAGTGCCCGAGGTGCAGCCACAGGGTTCCTGTGCCCTGAACGGGGCTGGGGAAGGGGCAAATGCCCAGAGCCACTGTACGGACAGTGCCTACAGACCCTCCCCCTCTCGCAGGCAATCGTGCAGGCCCTTGGTGCCACCCAGCAGAGGGATGAGGAGTCCCTGCACAGAGCCCTGCAGGAGCTGGCAGGGGCCATCGGGGCCATGAGCCAGGCACTGAGGAGGATGCACGGTGAGAGCAGCTGCTGCCTGTGATGCTGCAGCTCATCTCCCACTCTGGTGAGACTGCCCATCACCTCTGACCTCATTCTCTTCCTCCTAGACTATGTGGATCCAGAAGTGTTCTACTCGGTGATCCGGATCTTCCTCTCTGGGTAAGTGCAGCCTGTTTCCTCCCAGGGCTGGGGGAGCTGGGAATGTGCAGGGAAGGGGCAGCCCAGGTGGGATCTGGAGCTCCCCAGGGCAGGGCAGGGACCAGCGTTGTGTCTGGCAGAGATGTTCCCTAGAGCAACCATGGTCCTGTCCCTCAGGAATTCCTACCATGGATCAGCTGGGCAGGGACTGTGGGGTCCATGGGGCTGGGGTCTGTCCCCTCCAGCTTCTCTCCATCCCATGCTCACCTCAGCCCTGACAGCCCCAAGAGCCAGAATTGTGCACAAATGAATCTTTCCTGCTCTTGGCCGAGCAGTTTTGACAGGAGAAGAGGAATTTCTCTTTATTTGCACGCTGGGTACACAAAGCTGCAAAGCTGAGCAGAGGCTCTTCCCACTGCGTGTTAAGGAAACATCTGTAACAATCCTCCTGCTGCTGCCTGTTACAATTCCTTCAGCAGAAAAAAAAAAAAAAGAAAATCTCCCCAAATACTGAAAACACTTTGGGCAAGGCAGAACCAGGGCCCCAAGAGCCCAGCCCAGCACGTTCACCATCCCCCAGCATCCCCGAGGGGCTGCAGCATCTGCAGGCGCCAGGTCCCAGGCTTCTCAGGGCGGTTCTATTTTTATTTCTCTCCATCATATCTCAGCATTCCCAAGTAAAAAGCTCCATGCATCGTGATTAAGTTTCTCTCATTTTTTTATCCAAGCTGACCTCGTCTCGATGGTCATCAGCTTGGGAAAACATGCCTTTTAAATTCCCTTCTGCTTATAAGAACTTCCCACTAGTAGAGGTTACTATAAATACAATCCTGGGAGAACTAAAAATATTCTGGAATTTGATAATGAATCTATTTTCTCTGCAGAAAATATATTTTTGTGTAAAATCTGTTCCTGTAGCCCAACAGACACTGCAGCCAGCACTGAAAGCCTCGTGGAATGGTGCATTCTGTTAAAGGTCAACAGATATTTTTGTGCCGGGCGCTTTACCTCCCTGAAATTGTAACTTGTCTCCATTTGGGTGTGAGCACTTCTGCATTTCGGCACAGGGGGGCTGACAGGCTCTGGTTCAGGGTGTGTGTGGGAGGCAGCAGCAGCGCTGGCTCCCGACCTGCCCAGGCAGCAGCTCCAGAGGGAGGAACCCATCCTTGCCTTGTTATCTGCTGAGATAAACAGGCAGGCTGGCCTGGCCTCTATTTGTCTTTTAAATGCCTTTAAAAAAGACATCACCTTGAGTAACAAGAACAAAGGAAAATCCAAACTTCAGGGGCTCAGAGGAGTGTTTGGGTGACTACCTGCTTCTCCAAACATCCACTGGCATTCAAGGAATTTATGTAAAGTGCCACTATTGCCCAGACAAGTGTCCCCTCCCCTCCTGCACACCTAAGGCAGCTCTGCTGGCAGAAACCTTCCTGAAGTGGAGCAGGAGGTGCAGCCAGGCAGGGCAGGGTGTCCCAGCACCACGGCACAGGGTGCTCACCAGGGCATGGAGATCCCTGAGAACGCTCCTCTGGCAAAGGAAAATTAAGGATTTCTCCTTACAGCCACGGCCTCACTGTGTGCTTTGGCACAGTATTTGATTTCCAAGTTTATCTGCTGTTCGAGGAAGGCTGCCATGGCTGAATTGGAGCAGGAGCTCCATGGGCTGGGCCAGGAACGTTTTGCTCAATCTTGCCAGCCCAGGGTCCCTTCTCACAGACTGCCGTGTCTCTGCCCAGTTGGAAGGACAACCCTGCCATGCCCCACGGGCTCATCTACGAGGGGGTGTCCCCGGAGCCCCTGGCGTTCTCGGGGGGCAGCGCAGCGCAGAGCTCGGTCCTGCACGCCTTCGATGAGCTCCTGGGGATCTGCCACCGCCACGACACTGGTGAGCCACGAGCCTTCTTCCCTTTGCAAAGGCACAGAGGGGCAGGGGAGGGACGAGCCAGAGCCATCCCCGTGGCTGGGAGCAGGCTCTGCCCAGTTCCAGTGAGGAAGGTTATAAACGTGCCTCTGGCAGGCGCTTCCTCACCACGATAAATTCACAAAAGCACACATTTGGCTTCTTGCATGTCAGCTTTTTGCTGAGGTTCTCTGTGGGCCCAGAGATGAGGGAGCAGAGCGTGCAGGCATCCTGCCAGTGCGAGGCCATTCATAAAGCTCCATGTTAGTCCAGCCCCCACCGGAAATATTTACCAGAAATTAACAAAACCACGTTACTAGCAAAAAAAACACCAAACCCAAACAAAAGGCTGGGAGCGGGGCTAAAGCTGCCTTTTAGGGTTAGCACCAGCCCTTTTGGAGCACTGACCTAATATGGGTTTTGTTTCTCACTGAACGGGAGGCAGAGCAGAGGAGGCTGTGCAGGCTGCCGGGGTCCAGCCCAGCTTCTCTCCTAGGGGTTCGGGGCCTTTAATCCGCTCACCCACCACTTACCCCTCGGTGTGCTGTGCCTTGCAGCTGCCTTCCTGCACAGGATGAGGGACTACATGCCCCCGGCGCACAGAGCCTTCGTGCAGGAGCTGCGGGCCGCGGTGTCCGTGCGGCAGTGCGTGCTGGCCGCGGGCGACGCGCGGCTCCGCGCCGCCTTCAACCGCTGCGTGTGCGCGCTCACGGACTTCAGGTCCCAGCACATCGCCATCGTCACCAAGTACATCGCCATCGCGGCCACCAAAGCCAGGGCCAGGCGGGCAGAGCCCAGTGCCGGCGCTGGCCCCTCTGCGGGGAAGCCCCCGGCTGCCCTGGAGGCCAAAGGCACCGGCGGGTCCCAAATCTTCAGCTTCCTGAAGAGCATCAGGGACAGCACCAGGGAGGGGCTGATCAGTGCCTGACCTACCCCGAGAGCTGCCCGAAGTGGGCGCAGGAGCTCGAGGGGCTTGGGTGTCTGTGTGCGAGGCACAAGCCAAGATCCAGAACCTGCCAGCACCAGCAGCAGCAGCAGCCGCTTCCGGGACACGAGGAAAGCGCTCGGGGCTGTTGGGAGAGAACAGCGCTGCTGCTGCTGGGGCTGGGGCTGCTGGTACTGGTGCCCTGGGGCTGGGGCTGGTGTTGGTGCTGGTGTTGGTGCTGGTGCTGGGGCTGGTGCTGGTGCTGGTGCTGGTGTTGGTGCTGGTGCTGGGGCTGGTGCTGGTGCTGGTGCTGGTGCCCTGGGGCTGCTGCCGCCTCCCCCGGCAGGCACAGCGAGCTCAGCAGCCTCCCCTGGCACCGGCACGGGCACAGTGTCCTCCCGTGGCACCGATGCCCACATATCCCTGCCCGGGCCAGGGCAGAGCTGTGTCCCCCCAAACCTCGCTCCTGCCCCGCTCCACCCCGGGCGGGGGGCACAACTCGGACAGAGCCGGGGAGGGGTCACAGGGACAATAAAGCAGCGATTCCTGACCCAGCTGAGCCGGGCCCTGTGTCCGTCCCGACCTCGCAGCGCTTCTCCAGCACCAGAGGGCGGCAGAAACCGCGCGGGGCTCCGGAGCAGCCGCTCCCCGAGCCGGGAACGGGGGAGCGGGGATGGGGAGAGGGGCACGGGGGAGATTGGGGGAATGAGGGGCCGAGGGGCTCGGGGAACAGCGAAGGGCGAGAAGGAGCCTCCGGCTGTACCCCCCAGCCTCTGGCACCCGGACACGGCTCCACAGGAGAAGGGAGCCGAGCTGTGAGGTAAATGCGGGGTGTCCTGGAGGCTGCTGTGCACGGGAAGAGGCTGGGCACAGGCACAGGGGATGCTCCCCATGGCCAACTCCATCGCCCCTCCTGGCTCGTTAAGGGCTCAGGATGGAAAAGGGCAAAGCTGCACCACTGGGGGTCACACGGGCTTCACTGTGAGTCTCAGTGATAATGCAGTGCTGTAGCTGGGGACATGGGGACATGGGGACACATGGCTTCCCCAAGGGGCCAGCATAGGGAAAAGACTCCTGACAAAGCCCTGATCATCCCTGGCTACCGGCAGCAGGATAAACCCAGCCTGGTGCCAGGGTCAGCCCAGACAGACCCTCTGCAGGTGAGCCCAGCTTGGCTGCTCCCCATGGCACTGCCTGGCCCAAGGCTGCAGGAACGGGCTCCCCTCGCACCACCCAGCTGGGCTGAGTGGGCAGAGCCTTGTGCCAAGAGCGGTGCTAAAGCTTTTTTTATAACGCCAGGTGCCCATGTTGCCCTTTTCTAACAAGTCAGCACGCCCAGATTCCTTGGAATTCGCATCTTTAGGGAAATCGGGCCATATGGCTCTGTTTTGCCTCCCCAGGTTTTGCTGGCACAGGCACCAGAGGCAGGATTCACACCCAATCGGTGTCTTGGTGCAAAAATAGCCCTGGCAGAGCCCCTTCTGCACTGCCAGAAGAGTCAAGGTCCTTTGAAATGAGATGTTGTTCCCATAAGGGCAAAAACAAGCTCAGCACACTGTAGCTTGAATTATTAAACTCTTGCTAAATTGTATTTTGTGCTCTTTTTTTTGAATATAGCCCTAAAACTGGGGCTTCGGAGATGACTTTAGTAAACAACCCACGGGAACATGTCGGCACCTTTAAATCTTTGCCTGGCAGCGCTCCTTCCACTTGATCTTCATTTCTGAATAGCTGCTGCATATTTCATGTAGGAAATATTTCATCCCGATGATTGTTTTGGTCTATTACATTTCAGACCATTTCAGGAAAACAGCAAACTTGGACCGGGGGAAAAATCACTCCATCTAAACGAGAAACACAGCCAGGAGTGGAGGGAGCTGGGGCAGGCTGGCCCTGGCAGGGACAGGGGCTGTGCACGGGCTGAAAATGCCTAAACCCCGCCGGGCAGCAGCAATGCCATGGCAGGAGGGGCCAGGGACCCCCAGCAGGTGGATTTTTCTCCCTTCTGCAAACTCCCTTCCCTGAACACGCTGCACCCGTCAGGAACAGGTCCTTGGGAGCACGGAGGATGGGTTTGTGCCACCTCAGAAAAGGGAGATGGGAAAGCAGAGAGGTGGCAGAGGGCTCTGGAGAGCCAAGGGAGGACACAGTCCCCTTCTTTTGGTGGACAAGGAAGGTGCCTAAGAAGCTGCAGAGAGGAGTTCCCAGGCCAGCAAACCACACAGCCCATGGGGGCTCCCCATGCCTGAGCTCACCTTACAGAATCTCTGTCACAGCCAGCCCCCAGTCAAGCAGCTGCAGCTCCTGTAGAGCTGAGTTCAGTAAGGATCTGCCACTCTGGACGTAGCAGACTGAGCCCCAGCCAGGCACAGCCCTTCCCCCTGTGCTCTCCTGGCAGGCTGGGACAGCTGCTCCAAGACAGCTTTGATTTCCCTCTGTTTTCAAACCACTGCTGTCTAACATTGATCACAAGACACATCCAAGGTCTCAGGTGCATTCTGACTGGAAGCACGTGGCATTTAAATAATTTATGCCTGTGCTTAAAAATGGCACAATGTGTTTGAGGATATCCATGTGCATCCATGCTGCATCCTGCCAGTGGGAGCTGTGCTGCCCCAGCTGCTCTGTCCTGAAGGGTTTGGGCACTGGGGGAGCCCAGAATGTGTGGGGTGAGCCCAGCCACAGGTACCAGCACCTCTCCTGAGCAGCAAGGTCCAGGCTCTGCTGCTCTCTGTCAGAGCCCAGCTGGGACACCCTGAGCACTGGAACTGGGCTAAGACCATCCCTACAGCTCTGTAATAGAATTAATGTTATTTCAGCAGGGGAAGAGCAGCAGAAGAGCAGACTCCCCTCCCTCTTTCAGAGGTGCTGCCCCAGACCTCAGCTCCCAAAGCACATCTCCACAGCAAGGCTCAGTCTGCCCAGGATCCCACAACTGAGGACGGGATTTGGCACCAACTCCCTGAGCCCAGCAGTATCTGCTGGGTCAGCTGGGACTGACACCTGCCAGGGAGTGGATGGAAAAGCAGGGGAGATGTCACAGCCCTTGTCCACATCCAGAGCAGCGGCTCCAGCCCCAAATTGGTGCCACCCAAACAGAAACCTCCCTTATCTCTGGAGCCAGGCCCTGTCCTGCAGCACTGAGACACAAATTTCCATTGTGGAGCTGCCATCCAGAGCTGTCCAGCAGCCCAACCTCTTCCAGCCACCTTTTGGAGTGTCCACCTGACTCCTGACTCCTTGCTTTTGTTGGGCAGAGATTTCCCCATGGTATCTGATGGTCAGACCTGAGTGGTGGAAAGGGAAGCCTGGTGCACACCCAAGGAGACCTCACCTGGGCACACCTTCAAAGCAAAAACCTCACAGAGCCTCAGCAGCCCTAGGACCAGGAGGTGCCAGCCCTGCCTGCCAGGCTCCTTCCACTCCCTGGCCATGCCCAGCCTGTCATGCCACCCACACTTTGGCTCAGACTTTCCATCCTTCTCAATCTCTTTGGTCTCTGGATCCCTCCTTGCCGTGCCTGGGTCTCACCCAGGTCAGCATCCACTGAGACAAATCTGTGCAAAAGTTCCTGGCTGCCCCTGGCTGCTGGCAGCCCTTTGCTGGTGCTGGGCTGCTGCCCCTCCTCAGGAATTCCCACAGCCCCCAGGCACACTCGGCCAAGGGCTCTGCTGCTTTTGTCCCCGTGAATATTTGAAATCGAACAGGAATACAAACATTTGGATTCCAGACACTTCCCAATTCCAGCCTTATTTATCATACTTGGCTCTGCTCCTGGAGCTGGGGCCAGAAGAGGCTCTGAATGATTTAAGTGATTTAACATGCTGTGCATAGATCAATCTCACTCTCCCCTCCAGCCATAGGTTTCCCTTTGTGGTTTGCTGCACACTTATTATATCCATCAATATCTAAGTAATTAAAATCCCCCATTATCTGAGTCCTGGCTCCCTTACAAACTCCTCATAAGCTATAAACTCGTCCATGATCAACCTCCCTAAAGTGTCTGGGAGTTTGCAGCCCCATCTCAGGGTCCCCAGGCTGTTGTTACATCCTGAAGGTCCCATTGGAGCCGTGGCCAATTCCAGTCTGAGCCATGGCTGCAATTCCTCTCGCTGTGCTCCTGGTCCGTGCCAGGATTGCTCATTTCCATCCCCATCTTTCTCCATCACGGCTGAGTTTCTCTCTCCTGCTTCACTTGTGCTCCTGGAGCAGAGCTCTGGGCCTCCCAGGGGCTCATCCCAAGCCTTGTCCTGCTGCAGAGCCCATTGCTGTACCTTGTCCCCAGTGCTGTCACACCCAAATGTCCCTGCACTGATCAGGGACCACCCCGGGGCTCTTCTGGGGGGAACTTCCTTGGCACCTGCTCGGGCTCTGTTCCTGCACACCTCGGCCACAGGTGCAATTCATTAATAACAACCAATTGATTAATTAATTAATTAATGAGTATTCATTAATAACAACCAAGTTTGCCTTCTAACTGCCCATCGGGGGGATGTGAGAGCACAGAAAAAAATTGCCTTCACCTTCTTTCTGGTGCTGCCACTTGGTCCAGACCTGGGGCCGTGCCTGGAACACCTGGAGCACTCAGGGTGGCACCAGCAGAGCCTTATCTGTACCTGGGGAAGGGCTCACCTCTGCAGAGTGACTGCAGCCCAGATATGATTACAGGCCATGACTCAAGACAAAAAGTGCTAATTAAAGCATGGGGGAGGAGAGGAGCTGCTAATTTACACCTAATATGGAGAGGGATTGGGGAACACATTGACAAGCCACCACTGCTAAGAGGATGACACAGGGCTGGGAGGTGACAAAGTCTTCATTATCACATAAAGGATGCCCAGAGGAACCTTTGGGAAGGGGTTTTATTTCCCTAAAATCCTTGGTGTCTGGCCAGTATTTGTAAAACATTGAACGATTACAGCTGTTGGTAAATAAAGAAACCAGAGACCCAAACATTGGCACTGGAATAAAAATAGCTTCGAGTGGGGCAAAGGGTGGGAACAAGACACAGACAGGTCCTGACAAGGTCTCAGCATTTCTGTGCTGCCCGGGGTGCCCAGCCAGGCTGGAGCAGGGTTTAACCAGTGGTGGCACGTCACTGGTGCCACTGG